CTACATCATGTAAAGAGGGAAGAAAATGATCCAGCTAGTTTCTGTCCCTGATCAGTGGCAGCTACTCTCCAGGGTGAACAACAGAGCAAAGGAGCAGATGTTAAAAACTCCTGTATAACTTTCCACCAGAGCAGATGAATTCCCCTTGACAACATTCTAGGGGCCTCAGGTGTTAACAATAACAGGCTCTGATAATGATGGTAAGATAAATCTCAGAGTGTCACCGCCACTGCCGCTTATATGGTGGGAGGGGGAGGGAGAAAATCCCAGGCAGTGTTATATTCCCGCCCTTTCCCTCCCAGCCCTCACACAACTGTAAATAGGGACAGATTGCCCTAAATGATGCCCTTGAGGGCTGCTGGACAGCCCCAGGTGCTGTTAATTTACAGGCAGATAGCAGGCCAAGGTCTTCTGCCGTAGTAATAGGGTAAAGGTAGTAAAACACTCCCACCCAAACAGTAGCTCCCTGAACCCGCCGCCAACACAGCTGGCCCTTAGCGCGGGGCAGTCCGTCGCCGAGCGCAGGGTGCCTCTGGGGAGGGAAGCTCAGTGGGGCCTTTGACAGGCCCAGATGGTCCCACCTTCCTCCTCCTCTGCACCGCGCTGCCCGGATCAGGAGCGTTGGGGGCCCTTTTGCTGGCCCAGATGGTCCGTGCCGCTCACTGCCGCCGAGCACAGGGCGATTCTTCTTAATAATAATAATAATTAATCTTGATTTACCATGACAGCATGTCTTATCTTCAAGACAATGACAACTGTACCATTAATTTGCATGTGTCTTTGCATAAACGAAACATGGGTGTGTCTTAGTCAAGCACTTGGGTAAATACCCACAAAATGCCACAGACAGGAGAATATACTGAGGTTCTTTGCTCCTTCCCATTCTCCTCCCCATCTGTTATTTCCCCTTCCCCAGCTCTCTCTCTTCCCTAAAAGATTCTCCCTAGTTACTGCCAGAATTTTCTTGTCCAGACCACAACAATGCTAGAAGATCACAAAACAGAATGAATGAAGCTGGTTATTTTATATAATATAACAAAGCTGACTTCTGCGTACAGGATTGCCTTCTCCCATACTATCCACCTTGTACACTCAGATCCTCTGTGAAATGTTTGCTCCAACTGGCTAGGACTAGACTGGCAATGGTTTCACAGACTAATTATGTCTGTGGCCCCCAAATTGTGGAATGGCTTGCTGGAAGAGATATGACAGCTGAAAACACTGATTGCATTTAAAACACTAAAGATATCTCTCTTCTGGCAGTCCTATCCAGTCAATTTTAAATCATTACTTCTTAACTTGAATATGAACTCTTATGAGTGCATTTTAATGATTTTATAGTATTGTATTTTATCTGTAGGTTCATGTGTTTTTAATTGTACTTTGAATTTTAACATAGAATCATAGAGCTGAAGAGACCGCAAGGGGCACCCAGTTCAGCCCCCTGCTATGCAGGAACTCACAATCAAAGCACCTTGAACAGATAGCCATCCAGCTTCTGTTTAAAGACCTCCAAAGAAGGAGATGCCACCACTCTCCGTGGGAGTGTGTTATTGTCAACCAGCTCTTACTGTCAGGCAGTTCTTCCTAATGTTGAGGTGGAATCTCTTTTCCTGTAGTTTGCATTGCTTCATGTCCTAGTCTCTGGTGCAGCAGAAAACAAGCTTGCTCCATCCTCAATA